TCTTACGTAAGTTTTCTGTATATGGTTTCTGGCAGCTATTCTTTTAATAACGATTTAATTCCAAAACTCCCTCTAAAACCAATAAAGTGTGAGGATTATTTGCCGCTATTTTTCTGTTTTATATTTCCTTAATTTTAGCCTGAAATCGTTTTATAGTTTTGATTTAACCAGAGCTAACTTTCGGGACCATCATTACATATTTTTCTTTAGAGAAATGTTTCCACATGTTTTCCATTCGCCAAAAACGTAGACGTCAAAAATGAAACATTTTTTTTTTGCTAAATTAATGCTTACATATAAAAATTTAATTGAGATTTTTATCAAAAATATCTGCTATTAAAGATACAACTCTGCTACACTCTACAAGGGCAAAGGTCTTTAAAAATTTTCAAACCGCCAGTTTGCACGAAAAAGAAAGTTTAAGATATACGGCATTTTTCGTGCTCTTAGAACAATTCAATCTTTTAAATATTTCCTCTGAATTTTGCAATCAAGTAATAGCGGAGTACCATTTAAATCAATAAAAAAATAGCAGAAAATGCTATTATGGCCCGGTGCAGAGGTCAGTGCTCATTGCAGATGACCACAAGGCATAAATGTCCAGCATCACATTAGAATTGTATCAGTATTTCGAACAGACCTAAGCCCTCTCCACACGAACAGCATATAGACGGACAACATCTTCAATTTGGACTGTTCTTTTTGGGTATAACAGTATTTAACCTTTAATATATAGCAATACATTATTTATAGCAAGAAACATTTCGTATGCTTGTTTTTAATATTTTAACTGAATTTTGTAATAATTGCACTTTTTAAACATTTCGAGTTTTCCAAGTTTTTGTTTGAAATTCTCCGTGATTAAAGATTATGTCCTCCTAAACTGCTGCGCTAGATGTAAAAAAAATGGTTCATATCTATTTAACGGTTTACAGAATGTCATTTCTATCAAATGTTTTGCGCATGAAATAAAATTTCTTAGAATCAAAGTTACTGAAATGAGTCATATTAATACGTATTTTCTTTCACTAAGCATACATTCTGAATCTATAACTGAATCTCGACAACAGCTCCGGGATGTGTGAACATAGTTGTGCTGCTATGTTTCGTTAGAAACTTTTATTAATATACTCCTCGAGGATATTGTCAACGGCTTTGTTGTTCCTGATAAAGAGGTGGGATATTTTCCTGTGTATCTAATTTTCGATTAATATTTTAACACTGATGACTACTTTTTAAAATTCATTTTCAGCTTTAAAAGTTGTTTTAATAACTAATGCCGATGTACAGTAATAATACTCGTGCTATAGGAGATAGAAATAAAAGAAAACTGAACTTGCTTGACATTATCTAAAATCTGCATCTTAAAAAAATCTAGAGTAAGTATCTAAATTGAGTTTCTATGTTTTAAAATATGCAGATAGTTGGATTTTGAACGTGAATTTGATTTTCAGCTTAGAAACTCTTATGGTCTTATGATCATTAAGACTTTCTTTTCTCTTTTGCTTCACTTTTATAAATGAAGCAAAAACCTGTGTTAGGCGTAGATTTTTAGTATAGAAACTCTACCGATTTCGACGGCGAACAAAGTCTCTCTTCATCAGGAGTAAAGAAATCTGCAACTGAAAAGCCAAGTTACCAAAAGGAAACCCTAAGGAAATCGAGAGAGACAAAAGAGTAGCGCCATCTGTTAGTAGAAATAATAACAAAAATTGAAAAATTAGGATAATAGAGATTTAAAAGCGTTAGGTAGGACTAGAATGATTTTAATCATTAACTAAACACGGTAAATTTTTGTGAATGTGAAAAGCTTCAATAAAATCTAATTCTCCACGGTGGAAGAAGCTTTCTGGATAATCTTGCACACCCAAAGTCAAAATTGTGACTAAATTTCCAACTGTGATTAGCAATCGAAGACTTGCAAATTTCACGTTTTCAGACATAAGATTCATGTTCCTTAATGCGAAACCTTAATGCTCTTTAGGTTTGGCCGACGTAGTTTGTTAATCGAAAATTTATGGAGATATAAAGTAAATAAAAAGCAAATTCTAAATTTAAATTCTGATTTCGAGGTGCACATATGTGCACATATGCTCGGCTGGATAATGTGCGTTCATATTTTGTGGCTCTGAGTGCAGCCGTCTTTCCACAGTGCGAGGCGCATAGATCTTTACATACGCACACTCACACACATATCTCTCTCTTTATATATATATACGCTTACATACATACATGCATGCATACATACTTTCATTCATACATACTTGCGTACATACATGCGTATATTCATATTCACATACATACATACAGATTCTTCATTATTTGCTATTAAAGATAAAGCAAGAAATATCAATCTGTGCGAATATTTTCTTGCACATTGTTTCTCAAACGTTTACGTGGTGTAGTTTCTCGTAATAATTGCCAAGGGATGTACTGAAATAAAGATGGATTTAATATTTCATTACATTACATAATCAGTTGATTCTAGACTGAAAAGTTTATTGTACGTCAGTTCATATCTATTAATATAGAAGTTTACGGTACGGTTTAGTCGGAAAACCTCTTTTTTCAGTTCTCTGCGACCAAGACTATTCAAAACATGTTGTCATTTTGTGAACTGGATTTATTGGAGACTTTCCACATCCAATCAAATTTTTCTCTTGTAATTAAGGATTAAGATTCTAACTCTTATCTACAACGCTGGCTCCAAATATAAGTGACAATGGCGTATGCCTAGGTCATCAACTTTCGGAAGAAGCCAACTAAATGTTTCGCAGAAATACCAGTTAAATAAAAGTGTACTTCGACTTGAGTTATTAATGCCTATATTTTATACGACACGCCAAATGCACTGATAGCTGAGGAGCCAGCCTATCTATATATTGGTTTATACCGTAAATAATGCCTTTTTTTCAATTGAAATGAAAATCAGAGGAGACGAGATAACTCCTTACATCTATTTTCTATAAAAGTAGATAATAAGTTTATTTATTGTTTTCATTAATGCAGATTTTGAACACAGCAGTTCTATATTAATAGATATTTTCAAAGGTAAATAAAAGTGACAAAAGGTGCATATTCGGCATATATTGCTTTAAGAGTTCATTTAAACAACTATTAATAGGAATGTCAGTGCAATAGATGGAGATCAGACAATAAAAAATAAGCGAGTGTCAACGATAGTTTCATAAATACACAGAATGAAATTCAGCCTAGACTATAAACATCTTCCACTAAGATCTGTAGGGTTTGACGAGGACATTCTGCAATCTCTAATGCAATAAATCCCATTGTAATATTAAGAACTCGCAAAGAATGAAAAAATTGTATTTTAAACTCAAAAAAGAACTTCGTGTATATCTTAATTTTGAAAAATAAAAGAACTCTAAGAAAGCGTGTTACTTATGGGATGATCCAATACTTCGAAAACATTATTTATTTGCTTCCCCTTTAGTTTTCTGTCGAAAGGTGACATTAAGAGCTTCTTTATCTATTATTTACCCAATATACTTGACCTTTCTTCAGTGTTTACACGTAAGCACATATATTACGCCAAATGATTTTGCTAATTTTTTGGTTTCTTTAGCATACAACAAATTTCAATGTTTACGTAATTTCAGGTTTTATCTGAAGGCTTATCATTTAGCTTTTAATAAAGTACTTTAAGTATTTTTCATTAAAGATTCTGAAAATATTTCTAGAGAAGTTATCTAGAGATAAGTTTTTATCAGTTTTTAATAAAGTATCAAGTAACAGGGTAAATTGCATTAATTTGCACGACTAGTTTCAAGGTTTAAATATCAAAACTTCTTTCCAGCTGCAGGAGGGAAAACAAAGAAGAAAAGGCATGTGTTGATGTATAAAAACAGATAAAAGATTTGGGTAAGGGATTAAGGAAAGAAACAAAGCTACTTGCGCTACTTTTGTTGTAGCAAACAGAAAATGAAAACAACTATGAAATAATTTCCTAAAAAGGTGAAGGTAAGCATGGATTGGAATTTGATGAGTAACTAGAACTGAAAGATGTTTGTGAACGTAGAAAGGCCTGCAGAAAATCTAGTTCGCCAATGCAAGATGTTTTTTGAATAATTTTGGCGATAACAGATAACTTATTTGTATTTATTCATTTTTCACTTAATATATATCTTAGACATCCGCCTAGGGTTTTAGTATATTAAGTATTAGTAATGTAAACATTACTAATACTTAGTGTGAAATTTCAAGGTTGCCTTAGTTTGATCAATGTATAATATTTAACTTTGGAGAGGAATACTAAGACCTGTACATACCCGAAATTTATAAATATGGGACGACACAGCCGTATTTACCTTCAACCTTTAAGGAAATCATTTCATAGCTGCTTACAAGTTTTGTCAATAGATGGCGCCAACATCTTTTTTACTGAACTGGAATTTTCTCGAAAATTTTGGTCTGTTGTCGAAGCACATGCTTCTCCGTCGTCATTTTCATTCTTGTAAGTGATGAAACAGATTCTGTTTAAAGCTTCGAAATTAGTCACACAAGTTTATGAAACATAACATTACGCTTTAGTATCTCCAACATTTAGTATTTGTTTAGTTAATATAATAGTTTAGTTACATATTAATTTAGTTAACATGCGATTAAGTTTTCGTGTTCTGTATGAAAATGCATTTAATAAAGAATTCTTAATCCTTTAAAAAACTGATACTTATTAATATGATATGTGACTAAGTAAAGTGAATGTCTAGCAGGTTGGTTGGAATTTACTAAAAAGACTAGCTTTTAAACTTTGTAGATGTATTATGTACGTATAAAATAATTAAAGTTTGATAATAATTACATAATATATTCCTTAAGCAATACAGCACTTTTTTACTTTTTTTTTTTTTTTTTTTTTTTTTTGTAATCAGGGAAAATCAAAAATATTTCTTACAATGAAAACAAATATTTGTTACTTCTCTTGAAATTCTCTATGTACAAAAATTATAATTTAACAAATTATAATTGTTTATCTCTAGCGTGCGGGACCTGTTATTTTAGTGGCGACATCTATGTATATGCTTAATAAACCCGTCATTGGTCTAAAAGGTTCTGAAGAAGGCGAAGCTACTGGAAAGGTAAGTTATAAAACTCATACAGATAAAAAATCGTTTTCTTCTTTTTCGGAGATATTTAGGCAACAATACGTCATGTATTTAGAAAAACAAATTACTGTTTTACTAGTTGCTTTTGACAAATATTCGCTGGCCGCTTATAGGAGGTTGGCGAGATGTTCGAAAATGATGGTACAGCGTTTCATTTTTTTCTCAGTGTCTATCCTGGATATGATCCTGAGATTGCAAAGTTTTTCATAAAGAAAACTGTTTCAATACTATGGATGCCAGACTTCTGTAAACAAGAAACCTAAGCAGCATTGTCTCACAGCATTGGACACAGATATTTTTTATAAACAGGTGTTGATTTCATCAACGTCTGTCTAAAAGTTGCCTGCTTTCTTCTAGTGTAAAACATATGCTGCTACTTATAAAAATTTAACCCTTTTACAACAATTTAAGGTAACCTCTAAATAATTAATGATACTAAAATTTAGGTCATTTGTATATAAAACAATAAAAATGTAAAAAAAAGATTAAAATATTTATGAAAAAAGTGTAATTTTTAATATTTTTTTTTTTACACAGCATTTTAAGGTACTCTAAAAATATCAAAATACGATGCTAAATAATGTAAAAGATTTAAATATATATTATAAGCAATGTACACCTAAAATCAAAAAGTAGAAACTAATACACTAAAAAAAATAGTTTTCTAAAATTTTGCAAAATAAAATTATAAGTCTGATATTCTGAAATTGTATCCTAATTTTTTTTATCTTTGTTAATTAAAATGAATTTTTTTAGATAATACTGAAATCTAGATGTAATATCCCAATTAATGAGATTTCCTTGCATAACCATAAATGGTTCGCATAATTTCTGATAAGTTGAAATATTATCCCTATATTCACTCATGAAAGGTTCAAATAGATTTTGATATCTATAAATAAAATCCAAGTGAACAACATTTTAAAAATGTCTTATTAAATCGTCAGTTAAAACACTGTCTCGAGAAATCTCGCCCCAATTAACAGCCACTTATTTAGACTACAACTCATATTCTCCTAAAATGGTTTCCAATCTAACACTTCAATTTTTAAGTAAGGTTCTTGCTCGAATTTTTAATTTAAATATATCACTCACGTGAATATGTGTAAAACGTTATTTAACTCTACTGAAATTTGAAGCTAAAATAAAAATGTTTTGACTAATTTCATTTCGAGCTTCAACATTCTAAAGTGAAGCTTTGCAAAAATAATGTGATTTTAACATCCTCTTCTACTAAAAATTCAGAATCTTTATCCAATATTCCACATTTTGTAAATCTTGAAAAACGAATAATACTCCATTCTTTTTTATGTTGAATTGTGATTGAACTAAGTGAACTAACATATAAATGTGTTTTTATGAAGTCCGAATAAATTATATTATTAATAATATCAAAAGCACACTTTTTTATTGCAGCAACTCGATCTTTTATTGGATTTCCAATATTTTCTATTCTTTTCACTTTTGAGTCTATAATATCTTTAATTTGGAAATATTTATCTTTTAGCATTTTTTTTCAATTCTAATATACTTTCATTTATTCGAATTATTATCAAAATTTTCTTCCTTAATTCTTCCTTCTATTATTTTAATATGTCTTGCATTTGAGTAAAAATTATCAAACTGCTATCCAATTTCGTAATTTTTTCAATTAATTGATTTTTCAATTCAAAATAATTATCTTCTGTATAGGTGAATACAAATTCTTTATTAGTAGCATCATGGTTATCTGCAGGATTTATTTTTTCCTTTAAACAGAAAACCATCTGAAGGAATAATACAAGATTTTAAACATGTTTTTAAAGAATGAATTGCAAAATTTATATTAACAGATGAAAGTACTGAATTTACACGAAAAGTTACACAATTATTTAAAGATTATAATATTAATTGGTTTACCAATAAAAATCAAGAAATTAAGTCCGCTATAGCAGAGAATTTAGTAAAACTATCAGAATAAATGTTATGAAATATTTATTTGCATTAAACACAAGAAATACATCAATATTTTAACTCTTGCTTAAAAATTATAAAATTCATAATATAGTTCTATAAAAATGACACCTATTGAAGCGAATAAACCCGAAAATGAATAAAAAGATTATTACAATTAATATATAGATTCTGTAGCTAACAAACTTTTAAAAATGTCTAAATATAAAATACGAGACCGTATTAGAATATTTAAATTTAAAACGTTTTTTACGAAAAGGCCAAACGTTATGGAAGCGATTTGTATTGTTTCAGATGTTATAGAACCAAAAATACTGCCATATGCGTACAGTTATAGAATAAAAAACTTAAATGGTGAGGAAATATTTTATGGAAATGAAATGATAAAAATAATAAAACAGACGATAAGATTAAAAAAAATTTTAAAAAGAAAGAAAATAAATGTTTAATAAAATCTTTGGGATATCTTGAATTTTTCTTTAATACCTCTGCTATAAATGCCCCATAGAAACCAGTAAAACTTTTTATGGGTACCCATATTATTTTATGGGTTTCTATTGACTTTTACTGGTTTCTGTTGGTCTGTGGGTTTTTCGTACTGGTTTCAAAATGCCCCATAGAAACCAGTAAAACTTTCTACTGGTACCTATAGAATTTTTGTTGGTCTCTACTGACTTAAAAAACTTTTGTCAGAAACAATAACAGTAATTATATACACCACACACAACGAGGTCTCAATTTATATTGTACCTGTGCCTGCATCCACTGGTACTATGCCATTGTGTCACTGGTAAAGTGTTTACATACTCCACAAGAGAAGAAGTGTATCGTCACAGGGGTGCCTACAACTCGTCAAACACCACCTTAAACATCTTAATCTACACCAGGTAGAACGTACCAATTTCACATGTGTACTGAACAGCTGATCAGTGCATCAAATGCAATAATTCATCATGACCAGTGCATCAAATGCAATAATTCATCATGACCAGTGCATCAAATGCAATAATTCATTAATAATATTAGAGTACATGTTAAAGTAGCTCACCCATGGACCGCTAAAATCTGAACATTGAACTTGGACCAAATGGAACACTACCTACCTAATTACCGCAGTGCAACATTCAATACATAATAGTCTTGCTGATTTACCCCATTCTCTTTGCTTGTAAATCATTGCATTAGGAAAGCATTCGGTAGTAAGAAGTTTAGAAGCACAGTTGATATACAGGGTATTTCAAAGATCATGGGACAAACTTGGAGGTGTGGTGGAGCTTTCTAAAACATGCATTTTTTATAGGAATGTAGGGTCTAAAGTGACGGGTTAAGGCAGGAATGAAAAAAAAAAAAAAAAAAAAAAAAAAGAGAAGAAGACACGAAAGGAAAATGTGCTTATGTACAAAATCAACGCAAAGTGTTTCTTTGTAGCAATACAGTATTCACAATAAATGTTCAAAATTGCGACCACCAGCAGTAATACATGCTTGGTAACGTCGCAGAAGGGATTGACGAACATTTTGAAAAACGGCATGCATTTCGCGCAAGCTTGCAGCCGCAATGGATAGTCGTGCAACGAGGTCCTCCAGTGAGTAAACGGTTGTCTCGTAAATCATGCTCTTCAGATGGCCGCATAAAAAAATCCAAGCTGGATAAATCTGGTGAACGGGGTGGCCATCGAACGGGTCCACCACGGCCAATCCATCGGCCTGGAAATGTCCCATCCAAGTAATTGCGGACCCGCACGTGGTTATGGGCTGGTGTACCATCATGCTGGAATCACATGCGATCACGAACGACAGCCGGAACATCCTGCAGCAATTCCGGTAGCACCTCTTGCAGAAACATATAACATAAGCCATTTGTACGTGCAGGTAAGAGGTATGGGCCTATGAGGTAGTCGTTAACAATACCCTCCCACACATTTACAGAGAAGCGGGTCTGGAATGCATGTGGACGTGTTCCATGTGGATTATGAGTAGCCCACACGTGCATGTTGTGGCTATTGAAGATGCCGTCCTGTGAGAAAGTTACCTCGTCCGTGAATAGCACATCCGATGCGAAATCCGCCTACGCCGCACACTGCTGCAAGAGCCAATGACAGAAATGAACTCGAAGAGGGTACTCTGTCTCTTGCAAGGCTTGGACTCTGTGCAAATGGTATGGGTGCAAACAATTTTCATGCAATACTCTCCAAACGGTAGAATGACTCAGCTGCAGACGACGTGCAATAGCTCTTATACTTGTCTGAGGTGAGTCATGTACGATGTTCAAGATGGATTCTTCAATGCGAGGTTGTCATGCACTTCGTTTTCCACTTCTAGTGTCAGAGGTAGCGTCAAATGACCCGTTTTCACGCAGAAAACCGATGCAACCTCTCGAGCATTGTGTGCTTCGGCATACGCCTGTTCGGAAACCGTTCCTGGTACAACCGTAGCGTTGCTCTGTCGTTTCCATTATCAGCACCATACATGAGATGCATGCGTTTTCCGTGTGCGTTAACTCACCCATCACGCTCGAGATCAGAGTTGCGAATGGTCCTCTGATACATCGGTTCGTGGTTTGTCCGGCTCACTAACACCCTCTACCGCTGCATTGCCAGCCAATAACAGCTGTAGTTCCTATTACTGTTAGTGTTCCCTTTTTTTTTAACATTTATTGTGAATACTGTATTGCTGCAAATAAGCTCTTTGAGTTGATTCTGTACATAAACACATTTTCCTCTCGTGTCGTTTTCTTTTTTTTTTTTTTTGCGTTCCTGCCTTAAGCCGTCACTTTAGACCCTACATTCATATTCGAAAAATGCATGTTTTAGTACGCTCCACCACCCTTCCAATTTTGTCCCATTATCTATGAAACACTCTGTATATATATATATAAGAATGGAAAATATAGCAATTAATATTTAAGTGCTATAAGCTTTTACAATGAAATCTGTCTTCTTTATTTATTTGTAACAGAATTTTGCTATCCTTCCTAAAATTAGTTTGCCAGAATAAATGATAAATTAGACTCTGTTCTTCGTGATACGGGGGACTCATAACACATATTTACTTGCAGGAAGCAGATATTTAATTGATTATCAACCAGTTCAAAGATATAACAAGATTGTAAGAGAAATTAAAGTCACAGTTAATAAGCCATATATTGCTTTTTTTAATTAAAAATAAGTGAAGTAGCTGAATAATTTGAATACCTTTTTAAGGTTTGACATAGCAAAATTTTTGTATTACTATTTTTTGTTTCATTAAAAATGCTTTATTTATTTATTTATGGCATTACTATATAGTTATTTACTGAAACATTTGTAATTTCACTGTACTGGTAAAACAGCTTCAGTGACTATACTGCATTTACTTGTATATGGCATGATCAAACGTGCAACAATGTTGCCTTGAAAAACGTTTAATGCATTTTGCATGAAAACGAAAGAGTCTGTTTATACTAACTTGATACGCTCTAGGTGCTCGACTGAAAAGCTAATGTGTAGCCGTTCCTCAATAGACACTAATGCCGGCTAGCTTTAAAAGGATTTATTAACAGAGCACACAGGAACGGTTACAAACAAAAGAAATATACATAAAAAATGAAACATATACCAAATGGAACATCAAACATTGAGAATAACATAACATAGTAAGCTATCATCATGGCGGCTGGAGGTCGACTGACGTTTTTTCATATCGCCACGAGATGGCGTTTAAATAAAATAGTTCGGTTACAGTTCATGAGTTCATGGCGTGAATAAAATAGTTCAGTTACACTTAACTAGGTCTGTTACATCCTATTTTTGGCATCAGGCAACACAAGGAGCGGAGGTTTGAACTCTCTGCCTTCGAGAAGAATGATTTGTTCGGTGCGAAGTACCTCTTTTTCAGATACCAAACCATCAGCGAAAGACACCTGTAGTGTTGTCTTTTCAAATACTGCATCTTGTTTTTGCAGAATATGATAGAGGGATTCACTTGCAATTGAGTGACTAGCACCAGTGTCGGCGAAAGCTGTCGGCGAAAGCTGTATCGGAAACACCAACCAATACTAATTCGAAATACAGCAGTCCGAGGGGGAAGATAAACAGGATCGGATTTGGATAGTGCCAAAATTTGTTGAATTTGAAGTCTTTTGGGGGTTACAGTCTGAACATTTAGACTTGATAAAACCAGTTTTTCAGCACCCATAGCATGTTAAAGGAGGTCGCGTTCCTTGCTCCGTTTGCTTGCTGACCACGATTTAAAAAGGTTTTACGAATTCCCTGTACGTCACTTGTTCGATTTTCTACTTTGTGTTTGGATGGATTAGTCGGTTTGTAAAGAATAGTTTCGCCTGCCCTACCAGGAAGTTCAGTTTTATAGTTCGTATTTTTAACACGCTGCAGCGTTCATAATCATCCAATTTCTGTACTAATTCAGATGAACTCTTTGTTTTTCCCCAAGTATCAATAAAATGCTCCTTAACGTCATCACTACTGACTCTTCTTTTAAGCTGATCCGTCAGGACCAAGTCTTTGAGTGATTCAAAGTCTGTAACATTCGAGACTATGCAGCCACTCTTCGAGATAATTGTTTAATTCGTAAGCAAAATCTTTCCATAAGGACCCAGGCTGTTTTTGGTGGTGTAGGTAAGTTTAATTCGAAATGATTCAGCATTTAATTTGAATTTTTGGAGCAGAATGTTCTTGAATGTATCAGAATAATCTTCTAATTTGTCCTTTTGGCTCTCTTAAAATAATTTGTGAAATGTTCCTATAGAAGCAATATATAGAAGAGGTAGGAGATGAGTGATGTAATCTATTTGTTTTACATTAACTTTCTTCACATTGTCTTTCAAAAATTTTCAGGTAGGGTTGCAATGTCAGAAGTTCCTTTGTAAACTTTAGGGATTAGGTGTTGAATATTTGTTTCAATAGCTGCAATTGAAGCAAAGGCGGCATAGGTTAGGGTTTGAGCTAGCAGCTGCCAGGTTTAATTTTAAACGTTTCCAATTCTAATAAAGGTTCTTGTTCTTTTCTTTGACGTGTCTCCAGATCGTTGCTTTCACGTTGTTTTTGTTGTCTAGTTTCGATTAAAGTTTCCAGAAGATTCCTGGTAAAAGCCTCATCATAAGTGTCAGAATTGACAATAAGATCTTTAAGATCTATTACTCGCATAGTGTCGTTTACAGTGAAACCCAGTTCTGCAGCGAGAGATTTTAAATCCTCTTTTCGTGCTTTGGCAAGGTAAGCCATAATTATATGAGAGGTCAGGGGGGAGGGAAAAGATGAAGTTGAATTTGTTGTTATTTCGATTTTATTCACAATACAGTATTATAGAATTAATAATTATACCTTTAAGTAAAATGTATATACCCCTATTAAACAGCATGTATGAATGTAAACAATGTTACTCGTACATTTATATACCACTATTAAACAGTATTTATAAATGTAAACAATAATACTCACAAAGTTTATTTATTTCGAAGTCGTAAAAATATCATAAAATGCCCTCATAAATTCAACTTGTATCAAGAAAATAACATATAATAAATTGCTCAAAATTGTTTACTACTTAGCAAAACATACAAAACATACATAAATGTCTTTCCATAAGCTTTTATATTTAAGCTGAATTCTTCGAAATCTTAATCTTAACAAAAATATTAAGCTGATTAAGCAACACACACTTAGTAACTCTTTTACTTTATTTAAATAGTCATTCGATTTTATTCATAATTATTTTCTTTCGCTTCAAGAAATATTTTCAAGACATGCATTCATTAAAGGAAAACAATCGTATTTCTTAAAGTATTATACTATAATCATTTTCTCAAAATGTTCGTCGAAAGATAAATCAACAAGTACAATATTTTATTTTATGTAGAATAAAACATTTAATAAGGAACAACAGCACTCAAAGGAAATAAAAAATAATAAAAGATATGACGTAAACACATCATAAATCATCGCTAGTCTAAACATTTCCGCGGGGGGAAAACATCTGCTGCTGTATGTCAGAAGCGAAACTAATAAATTCTAATGAACAACGTCAATGAATATATTCAAACTTTAACATCAAAACATGTATTCAGTGAAACAATATTATTTACAAATTAATTTAATATGCGCATTAACATTTTAAAATAACAAATTGCAATTCAAGAAATAACGTTTGGTTAACAGAAAGCCGTTTGCTTTCGTTTAATACTCTTATGTAGTCTCAATAAATGAGATTTCAGTAAAGAATTTACATTTGCTTTAAGAAGCAACTTATAATAAATAATCAGTTTAAAAGAACTTTAAACTCAGATTAAACGATAATGTAAACGAAACTTATCTTTTCCGTTGAAATTGTTGTCCAGTTGATGATTCGATGTGCTAGCAGCACGGTATGACAATTTTAATTCCAGAATTGGTTTTCCAGAATATTGACCAGTAGTCCACACCTGAAAAGAAAACTGAGCCGATCTCCAGCAACTAAAAGTTAAATTCGGGAGTAAGAGCTTGTTAAAGCCAAACAGAAATTCTAACATTTTGTTGCGCCATTTTGGATTCAAATTTAGTTGGGCGCCAATGTGATGTAGCCGTTCCTCAATAGACACTAATGCCGGCTAGCTTTAAAAGGATTTATTAACGGAGCACACAGGAACGGTTACAAACAAAAGAAATATACATAAAAAATGAAACATATACCAAATGGAACATCAAACATTGAGAATAACATAACATAGTAAGCTATCATCATGGCGGCTGGAGGTCGACTGACGTTTTTTCATATCGCCACGAGATGGCGTTTAAATAAAATAGTTCGGTTACAGTTCATGAGTTCATGGCGTGAATAAAATAGTTCAGTTACACTTAAATAGGTCTGTTACAAATGAAATTTTCTAAATATTCCCGAATCCTATTTACTAAATATTTTTTAAATTGAAGCTAAATAAAGTTAAGTGACTGTAAATAAAATCAAGGAGTAATCAAGGATAATGTCCTTTTTTTAGATTACACCGTGCTTTTGAGACAAGTTTGTATTTTAGAAGAAAAGTTTAAAGGAAAAGCCATCACTTTACATTCGGGAAATTAAGGCACCGTAGTGCAAAAATTAGAAACCACATTTTGTTTCTATTACGTAATATAGATCCTATCTATAATTCCTTTTTATTAACGCATCGGAATTCACCCAACTATGAAAATGAAAATGTTTTTAAGAATATGATATAAATATGTTTACGCCAACTAAGGACTAAGCAAAAATTATATCTATTATTTAAAAAATATGTGAAATTCATGTTTATTATTAGAACAGCAAACATGATTATAGTATGATAGTACAAATTAAAGCGGTAGATTTTAAATATTTTATTTCATTTTAGGGTACAGAAAATGCTACATCAGAGAGTAAAGATACAGGCAGCCCTGGTGACACTTCAGAAACTCCAGGAAGCATCACTGAGGACACAGGTAGTCCTGGTGACACTGCTCAGACTTCAGAAAGTACTGGCGAAGATACAGGTAGTCCTGGTAGCACTGCAGAAACGACTGGCGAAACTTCCGAAAGCACTGGGGAAGATACGGGTAGCCCTGGTGGCACTGCAGAAACAGCTAGTGAAATTTCAGAAAATACTGGCGAAGATACGGGCAGCCCTGGTGGTACTTCAGGGACTTCTAGTGAGACTTCGGGAAGTACTGACGAAGATACGGTTAGCCCTGGCGGGACATCAGAAACGAGTACTGAAATTTCAGGAAGTACTGGCACAGATACAGGTAGCCCTAATGGGACTGAAGAAACATCAGGAAGCACTGACGAAGTTACAGGTAGCCCTTCTGACACTACAGGAACGGCTAGTGAGACTTCGGGAAGCACTGGAGAAAGTACAGGTAGCCCTTCTGAAACTACAGGAACGGCTAGTGAGACTTCGGAAAGCACTGGACAAAGTACAGGTAGCCCTGCTAGCACTACGGAAACGACTAGTGAGACTTCGGAAACAACTGGCGAAGATACAAGTAGCCCTAGCAGTACAGTAGGAACGTCAAAAAGCGCTAATGAAGTGAGTATTACTGATGTACCAGAAGAAAGGTCTAGTAACATTTCGTAACGACTGTTGGAGGTAAAAGTACTCCTGCTTACAATTCTGTATCTCAAGCTTCTGTATCTCAAGTACTCCTGTTTTGCTGTATCTCAAAGAAGGTATTATTATACTGCAGGGAGTAAAATTCTTTATATTCACTTTCAGGGAAAGATCTTTCGTGCAACCAATTCTTTAATGTAAAACATCAAAAACCAAATTTATTCTATAACTGCACTTGAAATGAAACATCTTTAAAGAAAAAGAAATTGAACTGTCAAACCAAATAACTGAATTTTAATTTTGAGAGAACAGAAATTATGATTCATTCATTAAATTTAAATAGTAATATTAAAACTCAGCGTCTCGAAAATAAGTTAAATGCACATAAAGGTAAACCATGCTATAAAAAATATTAGACATTTATCTAGAGATTTATGTTAGATCAGAATTTAAATGATATTGTAGATTTAAATGATTTAAATAATATTGTAGAACTCTCAGAATTTAAATGATTTTGTAGATTATTTCGCAGCAATGATTAATCATTTATTTGTTTACAATTGAAATTTCATAATTTAAATTTAAATTTTTAATTTTGTTTAAATTCGCTTTTTACGAATAAATAATGTTTGTTAACTTAAATTTTAATTAAATTCCGGTATTTTTCTTAAAGTAACTTTGAATTTTCAATTTTCTTTAATTTATATTTTCTAAATTGAAAACATATTAAGCTATGTTAATATGCCTATGTTGGAACCACTAGAAATAGCATTACTTACATTTCATTCAAAGGCCTTGTTGGATTCCTTACTATTGATTCACACTGCTGACCATAAAGAGTGTAATAATTTTAAGAAAGACAGGAACTATTAAAGTGACATGTACTTCACATTATAGCATTTTAGGTCCATCAATTGTATAGTCGACACCCATGAAGCGCATTTCAACTTTATTCCAACAGTAGAATATTTATAAAGCTTCTGTAAGCACATGGCAACCAAAAAAGAATCAGGATTTTAGTGGTGCAGCTAACAGGAAAAATTAGACAAGTACTTAAAAGGGGAGTTATAGTTGATACGAAATGCGCAATGTGCGCTGAATAAAACTGAACTGATAAACGTTATTAAGCAATATGCATTACAATACCGCAAACATGCAGTGTATAACACAGACATCTGAAAATAATAGCTGTAAATACGCAACAGTCATATATTTACAATGTCGCTGCTCGTTAAACAAAATTATCCTGCTAAATGTTCAGCAGCAGTGTACAGTAGAATAGCTTTTACACGCTTTACGAACGTTTCTTTATACTAGGTAATAATATTTACAACACTATACTAAATGTAAATTAACAGTAAGTGTCAAGGCAATCTGACATGTACAAATATATACAAGTACTATATTCGTAAGACTTCCGTCCAACTAACTACACTTTAAGAAGCCGACTGCCATAGACTTAAGCCTGAGTTTGAATCCTAGAGATGGAATGGATTAGAATTAATCTTCCATTGGTGAACTGGATTTTATACAGGCATTTCGCATTCAAAAAAATGGAATGGATGTTTATAAAATGTGTGATACCTATTTGGCATTGGGTCATTTAAAATACTGTCTAGCCTAAAGTCCTCTTGAGATGTTGATTGCAAGGGAAAGGGGGAAGACCCTTCGAAACTATCCCCCATTATGTTCTCCATAAAAACTGACACAGAATATCTTTTTTCTTGGGGATATGAAACCTGTCGTCATCATGAAAGCACACTAGATAATGATTTCGGTGATAAAATGGCTGAATGACCGACAGGTCGGGCATAATTTCTAATGAATCTAGCACGTGTCCGGCTGTTTGAAGGTGTAAAACATATTAGTAAGATTCTAAGCGAGTATTATATTCAAGAAGTTATGCTACTATTAACACGAAACATGTGAAATCAGAGTTTTGTAGCTCTATCAGGTTCAGTGTTCCTCCTTACTTGCTTTGGGAACATTAAATGACCTGACTCGGAACAGGGAGCTTACTAAAGCTATGTTCAATAAAATGTGGGAAGAAAACAAGATACACAGGAAGGGTATACGAAACCCTTTATTTTTCTCTCTTTACAATGATTTCCGGACTTCGGAATACAGAGACCAACCACTTGTGGTCTGAACGTAAGAATATAAAAATATTAACTAAACTCTAACTAAACTAACTTTGGATTAATAAACAAGTGTCTACTTGAAGATTGGCCGTATATTAACAGAAAGGCCGTATGTAGTACAAAGAACTGTTAACACTACGATACGTTTAAAATTATCAAGAGGATTAAACCTCTGGCCTTGAAGGGAACCAGCAACCGAGTAAAACTGCTATGGCAAGCGGCCTGCTCCTAATCACTCCTTCCTCTCTCTTGCTTGGCAAAAAGCCACAACTTAAGTACTTGGCGTTCGCAAGACAAATTTGCATAAATAAGTTAAAGCTTTTAATTCTGGCCGGAAGTAGAAAATAAGAAGTGATAGTAAAGATTTAAAAATAAAATAAACGTTAGTAAAGATCCTTACAGCTCTGTCAACAAGAATTGCAGGCATTTTGAAAGAGTATTTGAATTTGCTCAGTACATATGCATTTTTAGGTAACAGTACAGAAAACGGCCCTACATAGAATAGTATCGAGATTTTGCATAATGGCCAATGCATAACCATCTATTATTGCTGATTAATTTAGAACTTCTAGGTATGCCCACATTTACATGTATAATGTTCTGGATCCCCAATTATTCTGTATTGACGCCAGTCATCACCCTTGGGTCCAAAGGACTGTAAATGTCTAATAATAATGTTGATGAAATAATTAGGTGCGCCCAAATACATATCAGCAATAAAGGTGTTCTGGAAGAATCCATGTAAAAAACTTTAAAAAAATGTAAAATACGATAAAATTGCTCCAAATATTAATTGTTTTCTCAATGTAGATATTGACATGAATTTCTTTCACTTGTTTAAATTTTTTTTTTCTTTTTATATCGCTTCTCCAATGCATTTCAGGCGGACATGGTTTTTGTACATAATGCTCTACTAACATTTTGTTGCCTTTTGGCGATATATCCTGTAATGCGAATTTCATATCGATTGGACGTTTCCTCCTTAGCTATAAAATACAATTTAAAATGTTTATTTTGCCATCATTACTATATTGTATGCTTCTTTGGTTTGAAAGACATACACTCTATGTTAATAATTTACCACTTAAATAGAAAGCTTCGTGCGATTGTAAAATTCCACGATTGACGTTTTTTAAATAATGAAAAAAACTTAAGTGGGAAATTCAATTTTATTGCATACACCACCATTTCGTATAAACATTAACCTCACAGGATGATATGTTAAATGTAGGATATCATGGAGGAATTATTTAACTTTTGTATGTGAAGCAAGTCATAGGCAAAATATGCTTATGATCAACAGTATTTGAGTGAAAATTTCTGCATGCTTAATTGCATCGTGTAACACAAGTATTGTGTCTCAAGGAAGTGAAATAGTGCTATTCGAAATTCATGCTTTGGAACTAAAGAACAATATACAAATATAACCAGCGTTACTTTATTTGTGTAACGGACAAAAATGAAGCTTTAAATTTAATACTTAGTGTACCATTCACCACTTTCCTGTACCATGTGCTGTAACACATTACATTATTCCATATATCTGACTCATTCTGTATACTTAAATGCAATTAAAGAATTTAATTTATTTTAAGAATAAAACATTAAGAATTGATTAACCATTTAATAATTAATTAATCATTTTAAGAATAAAAATTTACATTAAGAATAAAATGCATTAAACTAACAGTTTCTGTTTAATTAGAGCAATCGTATTTTTAATGGAATTAAGTTTAAGTATACTTTCTAGGGAAATAATAGCACTTTCAGATTTACATATATCCCTAGATGAATATTCTATCCTTTAACTTGAAACTCTCTAATAGGTTAGGTTAGGTTATTTAATTACGGCAAAGCCTCGAGGGTTATCTGCCTAAGGGGAGAGATGCCTTCGTGGAGGACCTACTAGGGAAAACTGGCTCGTATACACATTACACATGGGAAAAACCACGAAAACACCCATGCAGCCGGCCCGTTCACAGGATTCGAACCTCGGACCGAACTACCAGTGTTGAGCGACTTTACCGCTCGGCCGCTGGTGGGGCGTAACTCTCTAATAAAAAGAGTGTTGCACATCATTATATAAAAATGCATACAATTTAGATATTGTATATATGCAGTTACAATGGGACATAACTGAAAGTGTTACATATCACCGTAGTGTTAACACACTGAAGAGGAAAAATATTATGACCATCCCCACATTTTTCCATGAACTCGTATGGATGACGTGAAGGGGACGAGATTAAGTGGGAATGGTACTTAACTGCTGTTGGAGAAGGTAAGGAATCATTTTTGCACTTAATTTTGTGAGTGAGGGTAAAGGTTACTAATCTAAGCGAATTTGATACAGGGCAGATTGTAATGGCCCGAAGACTAGGAACGAATGTCTCCAAAACTGCACGATTGCTACAGTGTTTATGATATGCCCCTGTATTTATACAAAGTGGTTAAATGACGGTGTAACCATCAGTAGACGCCAACGTGTTGGAAGTCTACGGGTTATCAAAGAAAAAGGACGTCGGAGACTGTCCTGCTTGGTACAGGTTACAGCAGGGCCGGCCGTCTTACAAAGACTTCTCGGGTAATGTCCGGGTCCTACAACTATCTATCGCAGCATCCCTAGGGGGCCCACGAGGGCCGTGTCTCTAGTTTATTTTGCATTTGAGAGTACTTTACATGGCCGTACAGGGGCCTTGAAGATTTTATACATGCATGACAACATTTTGCTCTGTTGCACACCGCTGATGCTTGTTATATTGGGGCATTGCACACTGCTAAGCACGTCAATCTGCCAGTAATGACTTATATATAACGGTGAACAATTCTCCGAATTACAGCCTATACTGATGATTCCAAAATATCGAATCCGCTATGGATACTAAGGGATACATAATGATATGGCTGCGCATTCTCAGCACTATGTAATAATAGTTCCGTTTAGGCAAAACTGGTTGCCGTTGGTGCAGCTATTATTTATGCAAAATCACTTTCTTTCATTTTCTTCGACTCTGCTTCTAGCCTGGCAAATGTTGCAGAGAATCGGAGCAAAAGTCCAACTATCAGGCACGTACCACAGCTACATTTTGGCCTTTCCAATCCCCATCAAGTCACACTGGATTTGGGTCCCGTTTCAGATTACACATAAATAACAGGCAACGGAAAGGCTGACGAGATGCTCCTAAAAGAGATATTCTTAATCTCGCCTACCATGTAAAAAAGGGAATTTTCAGCATTTTCTTCGCAAATGGCAAGAAAGAGGGAAAACGTAACTGAAATGGGAGAAGGGTTTTAGTTACTTAAGTCAGCACCAATTCACTAAATACCAACTCAGCATTTACAGTATTTTACGGATTCGTGGTGCATTTGGTACCTATTTTTGTACCTTTTACGCCGCAAAGACGGTGACCAGTGCCGCTGTGGAAGCGTCGGTAGCCCTGATCACCTAAGTCTTTACTATCCTTACACAGGCTCTGTGCATCTAATGAAACCGATAGACACTGACCTTTCGGCATGAGCCGAATGCACAATAAATAATCCTACAATTCAGAAGAAAATAGCACTGCTGGCAGTTGGTTTAGTACTCCAGTTTTCCCTGGCACTTATGTACTGCGAATGGTTTTGCTCTACTATTTTCTAATACTCACATATGTTCCAGTGTTTGTAGTTATAACCTTTCCTGTGCATAACTTCATTGTGTTGTTTGTTATATGTATGACACTTCAGTTCGTATTGTAAAATCATTAGGGTGTTTTTTTTTTTTTTTTTTTTTTTTTTTTTTTTTTTTTTTTAGGCCGGAGAGATGAAAAATTAACAGCGCCTTCGCCGGGAATCGAACCACGGACCTCTGGAATACCGGCCCAGCGTGCTACCGTTACACCACGAACGCACGCTAGGGAAGTGGGAGAAATACCTTATATACTCCCCTTTTTAAAGGGCGACTAGGGTTTTAGGGGACCTAGTCGCCAAATCCTGGGTGCGGAGAATCATCATCCACAACCCTTTTAGTTCGGGCGCCATTATAGAGTCATTAGGTTAATTGGAAGCAGAAAAGATGAAAAATATGCAACCGCCTTCGCCGGGAATCGAACCACGGACCGCTGGAATACCGGCCCAGCGTGCTACCGTTACACCACGAAGGCACGCTAGGGAAATGGGAGAAATACCTTATAGTATGATCTCTTTTTCTTCTACTTTTTGTTAATGTAAGCTAGAATGTGAGTGCATTTTATATTTATTTGTATTTATATATTTCTATTTTTTTTTCTAGTGATAGAGAATGTCTGTGTCTAATATATTTATTTGCATATATGTGATTTTCGTTTTTTAAATTTAATTCGGAATGTGAATAGGTATTATTTTTAGGAATATTAAGGATTATTTTCTACATGTAAAACACACATAAGTGTACTGAGGTATGGATGGATGGAGTGAGTGACAGTGGAATGAATTACTCGTCCTCTAATTTAAGTTAATCTCTGTATACTCGTGAATGTGCTTTCATTTCCATCAAACTATTAGTTCATTTGAACATTAAATTTATTTTTATAGATGCATGTGCATAATGTATTTATGTATTCATATCTGCTTATATATGGGACATATATTACTGCGATAATGCCATACTTCTTTGTAACACTTATTACCTTAAGAACTGTAACAATTATTATAAATTTTATAAATTTAGTGTAGCCACAGGTACTATCTGGTCTGCCATTCTGAGCAGAGGCTGTAGTATGGCAAAAATTATGATTCTCTCCGTTGAGATGACGCTCAGATTCCATGCAGTATACATGCCTGGATGTCGGACGTCATCTCGAAGGTGTAAAAGTGTAAAAGTAAGTGACGGTCCGACGTCACTCCTATCAAAAGCCTTTCGGTAGGACGTTTGGCTCGTGTTGTACTTTGAATGCTCCCTTGCTATGTATTATACACTTGTAAACATCCATGCCTTCTCCGGTATTCGAAACTAGGCCTGTCAATGCAGCAGTCAGTGTCAATGATCACTATACCGGTTGAGAGGCAGAAATTCTTTGCAGCATTTTTAAGTTTGAGAAAGACCAAGATCTAACGTACTGTATATTTAACTGTGAACTGCATAATAATATTCAGAAATCCGCCATTTAATTTTATCTCGAAGATTCACGCGAGATTCGTGAAGTTATAAATATTGTCATATTTCCTCGTGGCTGAGTTTCAGGAGCTTATATCTTGAACTGCCCGGTCTATTCAAAAGCATATTTATCCAAGCCCGATACAAAAAGGGTTGTTTGCCCATTTCCAGCAAGTGCTATTTTAAAACAGAGGTAAATTGTGCATTGAACTTTTAATCATTCAGGTACGCATCATCCATTATTCATTCTCATTGAAAAAAGAAGCTTGAAATTATTCTCTAAAGCTGATATACCTGAAGGAAAAGAGACTTTGAAATTTGCTCTTGTCTTCAAGGCAACATTAAAAAAAAAAAAAAAAAAAAAAAAAAAAGAATGCGAGATTTATTAAATTACGATAGTCTAAATCCAGTGACTGAAAATTAATAAGTACGAGAGCTGGAAGAAAAATAAAGTAAAGGTAAGTATAAAAGAATAAGCATAAGCCCTGGTGGAGCAGTAGAATGTGTAGACAGGTAACAAATTTCATCATAACATTAGGCAATATTTGCCGTACTTATAAAATAAACGTGCAGGGAAAATATCCAAACCTCTTTAGCAGAATAAAACTGAAAATTTTTTATATGTAAGACTGGTTTCCAATTTCATTAAATCTTAGGCTAATGTGCCCACGTTTTATTACCTTTAAACTACATCCTATTTCAAACACTATATTATATGACGTTCCATTAAAATGTCTAAAAACCACTTAAATTTATATACATACACACACACACATATATATCTACACCACTTTCAAATTACCTGCATATAATAGTGCGTTAACAAGTAAAGATGATCGAGAGTTCTGCGTAATTATATTTCATTATCTTGTACTATCATCTAGAGAAGTACTGAAGAAATATAATAATTTCCCAGACGTATTATACTTATTTCATTTTATCTTCTGTAATTGTACATAACTTTAACATCTGTATGTTATTCGATCGAAAAACCTGTATTCAAATAACAAATAAGGAAAATGTCCAGTATGAAAATCTCCCTCAGGTACTAAAAGAATATATTTTCATTAAATGTGGATTTTATAGCTTGTAAAGTTAGGTGCGACTCTATTTAAAAACGATCTTGAATCGGTACTTACGTATTAACGCAATCACCTTCGCGCAGTTTGGCGATTTTTAACACATGAGAAGGTAAAAATTACCAATTAGACTCTAGCTGGTGGTTTTCACGATTTTTTTTTTTTTTTTTTAAATTCTAAACTCACGATATTTATTGCAGATCGGCAAATACTATCAGCATATGAAAAGAAAACACACTTTGGCAAACTAAAATACAAATTTTAAACATTAAACAAGGATTACGTGATAGATTAAGAAATATAAAACGCTGGCTTTCTTCTTCAAATCTATCTGCAATTTTTCGCACAATTTTTCAAAGTATACAGCGATCTGTTTTTGCTAAAAAAATATCAGAGAACTGCAAAGAAGAGCGCAAAAATCGGCAACTTCGAGTATATACTAAACGCGTCTTTCTCATTGTTCACTTTCGAGAATTTGCGGCAAAATTCTGTGTTTTACTGCACTTTCTCCCACTGCTAGCAAATTCCATAAATGAGTATTTTAAAATCAAATTTAAGGCAAAACATATCACGATTTGTTTATAAAAATCGTTGGAACTTGAAATACAATAAAATGAAAGCATATGAAAATTGCGAAGTTGTTTGCGAGAAGAACTGTTTCGGAAGAACACTGTTAGGAAGAATTTTTCTGCTTTGTCAACAGCCAGTCACCACAAATCGCCTTGGAGTTAACACAGGGAAAACCGGTTCTCCATTACAAACAAGCTAATAGCATTCGAAGACGATAGCTGATTGGTTGAAAACGAACAACTTAGAATTTTTTTCGAAAGGAAGGAAATAATCGCGCGTCTTTCTTTCAATAGTAAACCACGCAGAAAAATTGTCGAAACAGTTGTTCTTGTGAAACAAATGCGTGTGTGATATGGGTCTTATGAGCTTGACTGCCTGAAGAATGGTTATGCGTATGGTTGCCAGAATATGGCGACTTCTACTTAAGGTGGTTAAATGATGCGTAAACACTAGTTGAATCTTAGGATAAGTTTGGTTTATTTAATTGTGGTAAAGCACTCGAGGGTTATCTGCCTAAGGGAAGGGATGCTTCGTGGATGACTTTCTAAGGAAAATTGACTCGTAAACATGTTACATATGGCGAAGACTATGAAAACGCCCCCAGCCCGTTCCCCGGGATTCGAATTTCGTATTGAACTACCCTTGTTCAGTGACTTTATCACTCAGTCGCTGGTTGGCTGTTCAATCTTAGGATGTGATAATAAGCTGAAGGTTCTCATATTTCCTTTCAATAATTATACTTAAGATAAGACATAAAAAGGTATCTCTAAATAAATTCATACTTAAAACCCTTTACGAAAGCAATTTTAACTCATTATAACAGGTAAAGAAGAGATCTGCTGAAGCGGAAAGCCTGAAGATGCGAAGCAAGAATCTCTCTAAAAGTCGAGTTGATGGAATGGGAATTAAAGGACGTGAAGCCATACTGACAGATTTCAATTCTTATCTATATGCTGACGCTCTAAAAGCAAACGGATCTGAAGACAGAGCACTAGATCCTAGAAACCAGGCACAAGATGATTGGGTAAGTTCTTTTATTATTTATTAAGATAAGTAATTTTAACATGGTAAAACAGCTAATTAAATTATGCAAATTACAAAGGGAAGAGAAGTATAGAAACAAAGAGCTGAAGTATTATTCGGATTCTTCTTAAGATCAACTTTCAACTTGTGTGTTTTTTTATCAGCAAATTCGTTGTTCAGTCCCTAAAGAACGGTATCTCAACTTTTGTTTATGGTAGAAACGTCTTTAATTGAATCTAACTAAATTTAACTAATTGTCTAAACTTTCTGAAGTGTCATACTACTTGCTACTTTACAATTACGTTACGATAACATCTACTTGCACCCATTTCCATTTTCAAATATTCCCACTGTCAGCAAATACTCTGCACACAGGTTGTACAGCTATCAAATTCTTGGAGCAGGAAACAGGAAAACATCCCCAGTCGTATTCGAACTCCGGATTTCCCTATTAACAAATGGACGTAGCAACAGCTTCACTAGGAGAACTCGCCATGGTAGAAGGAACAGACCTTCCTTCCGCAATGGAATTCTCAATAGGAAAGGCTAGGTTCCATGTAAGATTAAGGAAATTAGTAGATTAATCGTGAACAACGATGTAGATTACTGATTAAATTTGATGGTGACTGATGTTCTTCGGTATGGTCAACGATGGTTTTCAAGATAATTCCGATTTTAAAAATCTCTCTAAATTTACGGCATTCCTCCATACCAGTGCCATATGGGTTGACTGTGGCTATCCATATCTCACTAATAACGAATCTATAGATCTAGAGCACGATTATCGCTCAGCTAAATTTATTAAAAAAATTTAATTATCTAAATTTATTACACTTATCTGCGAACCATCAATTACGTCAACTTGTAGCAGTGATCAATTGTTAACAGTGATCAATAGCTTTGACCAACAACATTGCGGTTCGATTTAATTTTAATTATTTTATTTATTTATTCATTTTTGTATTTACTGCTTAGCCGTATACCGGTGATATATGAGTTAGCCGTAAATTACCATCAAGCTGTAGATCACCTTGCGCTTTCCTGTTTGTATCACTCATATGACTTCTGTTCCGTCATGATGTATACATAATCTGACCTCCGTACAATGAAGTCTACGTATTATCTAATATGTTTGACTCAGCGCCGCATTGGCAGAACAAGTCCTCCTGGTAATATGTTAATTTTTATATAGCGATAAAAATATTACAATTTGTCATTATATGATTAATATTATATATGAAAATAGGCAATTGCAACAGCACAATAGAATACAATATTTTAGTATGTACGCGCATGAATGCATTTACATACATTGCTTACGTATATAAGCACGCAATTATACGTATAAAAGCTCTACTCCCCAACCTACACATGAATGCAGTCTTTGAACGCTCTCTTTTGAAAAGTCGGAGCTTATATATTTTACATATATATCAACTAATAATTGGTGGAGGTGGAGCTCTTAATGAAAAAAATTAATTAAACGATCTTAGTTAAAAAATTTAATAATACATTAAAAACGTATGAGATATTTAAAAAATTTCTTGAACGATTTCGCTGCCCTTTATAATGTAAACATTATTTTTTTAAATATCCGATATGACAGCCTATTTTCTGGATTATAAGTCTGCATCGTTGTTTCCATAATAGAAGGGTTATTCGTAAAACTTCCAGGGGTATTGATTTCAATTCTTCTTCCACTATTTTCCTAAAAGTCTATCAATCGAAGTGGGTTTGCGCTTAGAAAGTGTTCTTTTCAAGAAACCAAAAACACAATAGTGCAGAGGTGAAACGCCAAGGGACGTCTTAGGAATACGTTAAAAACGTAAACGTTGAAACGTAAATACCTGTAATAGTCCTCATTTTATCAAGGATTGCAGTGGTACTTTTTAAAGTACGACTTGTTGTTTTATCTTGTGAAGTTTCAATCCTTCAAAGTCGTTGGGATCAAGAAAAGGATTTTTTTGTAAATACCGGAAATAGAATTTTCTCTTAGTAGCATACAGAGTTGATTTTAATATTTACCCCAAGCATCTTATTTTTAACTAGCAGCTTCGCTGCCAGCCTTCGTCTGGCTTTTAAATGTACCGGAAAAATGGATGAAGGGAACACCAAACGTTAAATTTAAAAACAGCGTAGAATTTTACTCTGCAGAACAACTTTATAAAAAAAGTTATTACGTATAACAAAATTGCAATGAAATAAGCAATATCCCTTAATATAAATATTAATTATCCTAATAAATAAACTAACCAACCTCACTTTGCAAAATCTTAACTCAAATGGTATAAAGGAGGTTAAGAACTTTGTTTCCTAAAAAAATCACTCAAAACTTTTCAGTATCTTAAAAACAGTGAAATGAGCAATAATTAACATAAAAGAATACAAAAAACAAAAAATTCTGAAAAGCAAAGTATAATTAATGATATTTTATCTTATATTTTCAAGAGAAAAAAATTACAATGAAATAAGCTATATTCCTTAATACAAATATTAATTATCCTAATAAAAAAATTAACCAACTTTCCGTTGAAGGAAAAAAAAAGATGCAAAAGTTTTCAATATCTTACAGACGGTGAAATAAGCAAAAAGTAACATGAAAGAAACTCAAAAAGCAAAAAATTCCGTTCACAATTTTACTCTGCAGAACAACTTTATCAAAATAAAAATCAATAAAAATGTATTATATATATATAAAATGACAATGAAATATGCCAATCTCTTAAAAACAGTGACATAAGAAATACAATGAAAAATTGTTGCCAAACCCATATTTCTAAAAGAATAAAACTATTTAAAATGATGCGATTTCATCAAAAACAATAAGAAAGGAAAATTGTTGCCAAAATCACATTTTTAAAGATGTGAGAAGTGTACTCAGAAGCTTCATTTAAATTTTTTTTTAAAATACAAAATATTATCATTTTTCCAAAATTCTTTTTGTAAAAGCAGTCACAAGAATGAAAGTTTAACGTGTCCAAAAATGAAAGAAAAATAAACTGTAACTTTTTAAAAATAAACTTTTTTAGAAAAAATCCCGTTGAAAAGGTGTTAAACTCACTTTGTTAATAAATTCGTATTTAATCGATTTATTGAAACATGAAATTTATTTTAAGTTCGTAAAATAGCTAAGTACCTACATTTCATGACGATGTGAAAATGGAGTGTGTAGAGTAAAATCTCGCTTTCCTATAGCCCATTATGTCTCAAAATGACGCGATTTCGTCACAAAACATAAAAAAAAAAAAAAAAAAAAAAAAATTCGAATTCGAATTTCGAAAAAATCGCTTCGAGGTGCACTGGCTCTTGTCTAAATGCACCTATGTACCAAATTTCGTAGCCGTGGGTCTATTAGTTTACGCGCTGAACGAACGAAAGACACACACACACACACACCCACACAGACAGACTCTTTCTTTTATTATATGTAGAGATTTTCCACTGTAAGGGAATTTTGCGACAGTCAGAAACCTCTTATTGGAATTGCCTTTGGATTGACTAATATATTGTAGATTTTGTTCAATCCATTTTCGATAATAAATAGACCATTTTTTGTTGAAGTTATTTAGGTAATGTACCTGCTTCATAAAGGGTCACAACGAATTTCCTGTTATCTCCTGCTATTGAGCCACATGCCTCTGCAAAAGCTCGTAAATATTATGTTTTTAGCTTTATAAGTTGTAAGTCTTAATACATTATTTTATTTATTGTTACTACAGATGCATTTAAAGACTTTGTAATTTATTTTTCTGAAGGCGGATTCTATGTTTTTAACAATTATTTAAGTTTAGAAACATTAGAAATTTATTTTGGACATTCATTATTCTTGTATAGTTCACAATAAGAAATGATGCGTTCATTTTGATGCTATGCATTTTGTAATGATGCTATGCATTTTGTAACGTTTTAATGTTTAGAATAGGAATTTGTTTCTTCGGAGAGTGCAAAAACATATATTTTAGTCCTTAGCATATTTAGATGTGACATTTTGAAAGAAGTACAAATTTAAAAGTAGTAGACAATATTTTTCATTTAAAATAATAAGCTGTTGCCAGAAATGTTATTCTAAAACATTTTGTTTTTTTAATTCCTTATCATAATCATTCTAAAACTGTGTAAATAACCTCTGTATTAAATAAAATGACGTAGAAAGAATTAGCTCGCTTAGTAAATTGATTACAGTAACTCTATTTTAACTGAAATTTAATGTATTGTTTCATTCCTACTTAATTGAAGGAAATATGATTTAGGAAAGCTTTAAGGAAAAAAATGTAATATTTAGATTAAGATCTATAACTTCTATCAAAGATGAAGATTGATTAAAGTGAAAGAACATTTAAAAGTAGTCAAAGAAAACAACTGTGGTGTAAAATGGAAGCACTGTTGATCTTGTGAGTAAAATAAATACTAAATATATCTAAATATTTTGAAATAAATTAAAACAGTGTTTGCAATATAAAATTGAAAACATTTAAAAGGCTTCTAAAAATTTTAAAGTTCCAATTTTAAAGTTTTATTTACAAATGTATACGTACATGCATTGATTAGACGTTATTTACGAGATAAAGTTAAGAATTTTAATATTTAGATAGAGAAAAGGAATCTAATCTAAAGGAAAACTTAATAAATAATTACCAGGATATCAATGTTGGAAGTGAATGAAAAATAATTGGAAATAATTTGTGCAAAAACAAATTGAGGTTTAATTTTCTATATACCTCACTCTCTGTATATACATATATATATATGCACACACATGAGGTGTTTTATTTTAAAGTGTACACATTTTAAAAACATTGAACGTACACTGCGAAAAAAAAATGGGACAGTTCTATATCTCCCGTTCTACTGAGCCGACTGACGAAATTCAAATGCTTTTTTTTTATGTCTCGAAAGCGATAAGATATACTTAACTCGACTTAAGATATATACTAGATTTATATATAGCATTGCTCTAACATAGGTATTTTGACACAAAATGGGACATTTCTGAAATAACAT